GTGCTGGAAACAGGAAATCTGAACTGTTGAAGCTGGATGCTAATCGTCAACCAATCAGAGAGGCTGATTCAGCAGCTGTCTGGAATGCTTAGTGTGAGTCAATGAGTCGATGCAATCAGCTTTCCTTAGATAGAAAACTGATTCATTCTGATGATCTGATTGAACTGTAAAGATGACATGCGTTGTAAATTGGGCCGATAGAAATAAACTGAATTTAATTGAACACTTTGTCCAGCTAATATGCAAATAAAGCCAAGTCGCTCTATAGATGGACAGGAAGCGAACAGAGTAGCCCAATGATCGGAGCATCTGACTTTAAAATGAACGTGTCCAATTTGAGGTGTGGGACGGTTTGAAAGTAGCTTTAAACTTTTACCTCAGTAAGATAAAAATATTAGAAGCCATGATAAGGACCTGCAGTGAGCCTAAGCGACCCGAATAAAGGGGCGTAATCACATCATAAGACTTTTCAAATTTATACCGAAGAAACAAAGTTTCTCTACGAGATCCTGCTGTTATCTTTGTATTTTGTTGTTGCTCAGTTACTAAAAAATACCTTATTTTATTGACAAGCAGCCATTTTCTCTCATATCAAGAGAATCTTTCCATAAAATGAAGGGCTGAATATTTGTTTACAATATTCTATGTACGTCGTTATATTTTCCCTATTCATTGTGCGAGACTGACTGAATAAGCAATGTTTTCTTACACAGTATTACCCCCAGATTCCACATACTCCGTCAGCGTATGTGGAATCTAGGCTGACATGTTAATCTGTCATGATTAACATGACAGACATACGTCCTGCGGAGCACTCGTCTGTCATGTTAATCAATGAGAGCTGTTCCACATCCACCGCTAGTCCTCCGCACATTACCGTCCACGTACATCCTCTCCGTCCTTCACCATCAAAATACAGAGCCGAGACATTTTTTTTCCTCTGCTCCGCTCCGGTCAGGTCAGGTGAAGATACACAATTGCAATCGCACTAAACAGGAAAAAGAACGGCGAGAAGATCCGGTTTGTCGATTTTAATTTTTGTAACGACAGATCGGTAACTGCAGATTAAATTATAGCATAATTCTTATATATTTCCATAAACTAAGACCATTCAATTAAATGATTGGATGCAAATTATTGATCCTTCAACAGACCGGGAAGCTCATAAAAAGCAAATGAATATGATCCTACCTGTTACAAAAGAAAAGAAAATATACTGGGCAGAAACTGAGCATATGCCCGATGCTGATGGGGATTTTTTTGTAATGTGTCATTAAATTAAGCGTTTATTTCTGCATATTTTACTTCTATGAATTTAATAATAATATGGCGCATGCTGTCCTCGAGCTCAGAGGAAGTCGTAGCGCAGCAAGACGGGAGGAACAGAGGAGGCTGTAGGCTTTGCTTTGCGCAGGAGGTCTGGGGCGCAACAGAGCGGTGAT